TCATAGCTTTAAATTATGTTTGCCAGCCTATCTTTTGATTGTGGAGAATTTAGTCCATTTGTATTTAAACTAATTTCTGATAGTGAAAGACTTCTGCCATTTTGCTTTTTAAAAAAATGTTTGTATCTTTTCTGTTGTTCCATAAGTGCTTTTTTTATGTTTAAGTGATTATTTGGTGTGTACTATTTTGAGCACCTCATTTTCTTCTCGTGTGTGTGTGTGTGTGTGTGTGTGTGTGTGTGTATGTGTGTGTATTTTGTGGTACTGGGTTGGAACCCTGGGCCTTATACTTTCTAGGCAGGTGCTCTACCACTAGGAGAAAGTCATGCCTCTAGCCCTTTTGGCTTTCATTACTTTTTAAATAGAGTCCTGCCTTTTACCCAGGTTGGCCTGGATCACAATCTTCCTATCTACACTTCCCACAAGTATATGCCACCACATTCAACATTTTTATTAGGTGAGTTGAGGTTTCACTAATTTTTAGCTTGGGCAAAAATACTCTAGTTACACACACACACACACACACACACACACACACACACACACACACACACAAAACAACTAAATTTCAGCAAAATAAAAAACTTCATTTCTGTGTATCTCTGTTCCCATTGCTTCCTTTGTGCTATTGTTGTCATATAAATTGTAACTTTATTGTGCATCCATCAAAACAGGTTTGAGCTTGCGTTATGCAATAATCTTTTTTATTATTATAATTTTATTGTTATTATTAAGGTGTTGTACAGAGGGGTTACCATTTCCTAAGTCAGGTAATGAGTGCAAGTCTTCTTGGACATTGTCACTCCTTCCTTTGCTTGCAATTATCTTTTAAATAAAATAAGAGAAAAAAATTACCAAAAATATATGTATGCTTCTTATATTTATTTATGTAGTTATCTTTATTTGCTCTATTTTTTCATATGAATTCAAGTTATTCTCTATTATCCTTTCATATCATCCTGAGGATTTATGTTAGTATATTTAATATAACACATTTCCTAGCAGCAAACTTCTTTAGTTTTTGTTTACCTAAGAATGTCTTTAATTTATCTGCCTTTATTATAGGATGCGTTTGTTGAGTATTATATACTTAGCTCATTAACACTCTTGAGTATTTCACCTTATTTCCTTGTGCCCTCCTTCCTATTTAATGAGAATTTGACTTTTCTTTTTTGAGCCATCCTGGGGTTTGAACTTAGGGCCTAGATGCTGTCCCTGAGCTTTTTTGCTCAAAGCTAGTGTTCTGCCACTTGAGCCACAGCTCTGCTTCTTTCTGGTGGTTAATTGGAGATGAGTCTCATAGACTTTCCAGCCTCCTGAGTAGCTAGGATTACAGGTGTGAGCCACAGGTGCATGCCTGGCAACTATTAATCTTTTTAAGTATTCTTGTATGTGATAATCATTTTGAGCTTCCTGCTTTTAAGATTCTTTGTCTTGAGAGGGGTGGAGGTAGGAGGGAGTGTAGTTGTAGAGGTGGGAGGGAAGGGATGGTAAGGGAAAAACAAAAGAGGAGGTAACAATGCTTGGTAGGAAATGTACTCATTACCTTGCTCATGTAACTGTAACCCTTCTGTACAGTATTTTTACAATAAAAATGTATTAAAAAAGATTCTCCTATCTTTATCTATTTACAGTTTTATTATGATACATTTAATTGTGGACTCCTAGAGTTTATACCGCTTATTGTTCATTGAGCTTCCTCAAACTATAAGTTAATATTTCCATCAAATACCAGAAAGTCTCTGACTTTATTTCATTTGGCTTCCTTATCTCTCTCTCCTTCTGGGACTGTAATTATGTATATGTTAATATGATTGCCAGGTGCTGATGGCTCACACCTATAATGCTAGCTACTCAGGAGGCTGAGATCTGAGGATGGCTGTTCAAAGCCAGCTGAGACAGGAAAGTTCATGAGATTCATCATCAGTTAACCAGCAAAAAGCCAGAAATGGAGCTGTGACTCAAGTGATAGAGCACTAGCCTTGAGCAAGTAAAGCTCAGGGATAATGCCTAGGTGCCCCAGTGTTGGCAGGGAAAAAAAATAAAACAAAAACTTGATTGTGTACTGGATGCTGTGGCTCTGTTCTTCCATTATTCTTTTTTTCTTTTTAATCTTATTCATCAGACAGGATAATCTAATCTACCTAAAAATTAACAGATTCTTTCACCTGCCTGCTCAGATCTGGTACTGAGACTTTCTACTGAGTTTTTCATCTTAGTTGTACTCTTTATTAATATCTTCTACTTGGTGATACAGTATGCTTCTAGTTTCTATTCTTTGTTATAGATTCCTTTAATTCTTCGAAGATATTTAAGACAATTGATTTAGGGTTTTGTTCAATAGATGTAGTCATGATTTGTCAATTTATCTCCTCTCCAATTATTACCTTCTCACTTTTATTTGCAAGTGTTTAATGTCATGTTTAAAATTGGATATTTTGAATATTATAATGCAATAACTCTGGAAATCATATTCTTGTTTCTCCTTAGGATTTATTATTGCTACTTACTGTAGGTTATAGTTGTTTAAATGACTTTTTAAACTATTTTTTTTTTGTTGTTGGTCGTGGGGCTTGAACTCTGGGCCTGGGCGCTGTCCCTCAGCTCTTCAGCTCAAGGCGAGCGCTCTACCACTTGAGCTACAGCTCCACTTCCGGTTTTCTGGTGGTTTATTGGAGATAGGAGTCTCACAGTCTTTCCTGCCCGGGCTGGCTTTGAACCGCGATCCTCAGATCTCAGCCTCCTGAGTAGCTAGGATTACAGGCATGAGCCACCAGCGCCCGGCTTTTTAAACTATTTTTATATAGAGTCTATTGATTGTAGCCACTTGCCTCTGTTCTCTTAGCTTTGTAGTCAACTGGTGATTTGATAGAATTTCTTTAAACATCTAGAGTCAAAATAAAACTTTGAGAGGCAAATGTGAATTCAAGACCAGTCCATGCAAAGTTAGCAAGCCCCTATTTCAAAAGCAAATATAGAAAAAAGGGTTTGGAATGTGTCTCAAGTGGAATAGCACTTACCTAACGTGTGTGAGGCTTTTGGTTCAATTCTTAGTACCAGGAAAAAGAAAGGAATAAAGGAGATAAAGGAGGAGAAGAGGCTATGAAGGGGGAGAAGAGGGGACAAATTGGTTGGGGAAAAGGGGGAGAGCAAGGGAACAAGGAAGGAAGGAAGGAGGGAAGGAAGGAAAGAAGAAAGGAAGGAAAGGAAGGAAGGAAGGAAGGAAGGAAGGAAGGAAGGAAGGAAGGAAGGAAGGAAGGAAGGAAGGAAGGAAGGAAGGATGGAAGGAAGGAAGGAAGGAAAGAAGGAAGGAAGGAAGGGGGAAAAGAAAATAGGAAAATAGGTAGGTCTTCTAGTTCTTGCAGATTGGGTTTGTGTTGAAACATTCCTTCAACATATAGCCAGATCTTATGCAATTCTTCCTTAGCCTTTTTTTGAGTATCACTATATTCCTGATTATGTAGCACCAAATCAGCCAAAGGTGAAAGCTTAAGGTCTTCTCAGTCTTTCCTTAACATGTGCCTAGCCCTTGGCATGCATTGTGGTCTTCTAGATTGTCTAGTTCATGTGGAAAGATATTATATGGGGTAATATCTTTATGACCCCCTGTGTCCCTTCCCTAGCCTCTTCCTTTTTTAGCTTTTTGGTGTCTTTACCTTTTGTTCTATCTGTATTCCCTAGCCCCAGGTAACAACGACTGGTGTATTTGCCTTTAAATACATTTGAGACCTACTTTGCAGAATGCTTAACCCAGCCCTGAGAAAAGTCTAGGGTGAGTGAAACCAAGGCAAACCCTGAATGAGTATGTAAAGAAGCCACAAGATAGGTCAAAGCATACAATCAAGGGCTGGCATATTGCTGAGTGCTAAAGCAAATGATCATGAGGCCCTGGGTTCCATACCAAGCACCACAAAAATAAGTTAAATAAGTAAATAAAACCATAAGAACAAAGTTTATATCACCACTTTTAGCACTAGCATGCAGTACCAGTGGCTGCCTCTGACTTGGGAGTTGGTCATGATAGCCAAGTACTGTCAAGTGACACTATCTTAAAGCAGAGCTGTGCTATTGAGCTGTGCTGGCTTTAGTTCTATAGAGGTTTTTAAAAAATGACAGTGTCACCAGGCATCAATGGCTAAAACCTGTAATCCTAGCTATTCAGGAGACAGATCTAAGGATTGCAGTTCAAAGTCAGCCAGGGCAGGAAAGTCTTTGGAACTATTATCTCCAATAAACCACTAGAAAACCAGAAGTGGCATTGTGATTCAAAATGGTAGAATGTTAGCCTTGAGCCAAAAGAGCTCAGGGACAGTGCCCAGGCCCTGAATTTAAGCCCCATGACCAATAATAACAACAACAAGAAAAGTCAGTGTCATTCCATTTTTCCATCATGTCTTAAAATGGGAGTCGGGTAATGCCTCTACCTCAGCCACTTGACCTTTGTGGAGGCATGATATTCACTTTTTATAATGGACCTGGAGAAGCAATTTCCCCTGCGTACCAGCAGCCCACTCGCTCTTTTTCTGAGGAACAAAGGGATACAAAGCCTTTAGCTTTCTTCTAGAGGTTCACCAGTCCTGACAGGAAGTTCTTTCCAGGACAGAGCATCCTATGGTTTGCAGATGTCCACACCCCAGAAGACTCCACTACCTCTTCCACAGAGACAAGGTAAGTGTTCTTCACCTGTACAGGTCAATCACTAATGAGGGCAGGGTCAAGAGAGACTAAAAAATCCCCTGGTTGGGAGATTTCCTTTGGCAATCCCCAGTTGCCCCTCTGCTCATCCAGTGTGGCTTGGGATGGTGGTAGGTGCACAGTGACACCACATTTGCTCTGTCACATCCACAGGGGCCTAGGCAGCAACTCCTTTGTGCATCTTCTTTCCAGACCTGAAGAGCACCTTATTGGACCATCCCCCAGACCAGGGGCTCCTCTGCCCTGCCCAGCAACTCTGTAGTCCCACCTCGGTTCCAACTCCCAAATCACCAAAGAAGCCCAAGATGCAGATGGCTGGGGACATATTCCCTACTGACTGGAGCCCACCACCTGTAGAGTTCCTAAACCCAAAGGCACTACAGACACAGTGGGTGGGTGCAGCAGGCCCTCAGGGCCGGAGGAGACCACCCAAGGAGTTGGAGCAGAAGCCCTTGGACTTGGACTCAAAGCAGGGTATGACCTCACTGGAGGACCTGTTCTGGAACATGGCAAGCCCAAGCCAACAGGCTGGAACCCTAGAAAAGCACAGCCATGCTTTGGTAAGCCAACAGTTATATCAGCCTCTCTTCTTGGCTACCCTTCTTCAGTCACCCCTTCTTAGTTATTCCAAGGATGCCCCTTTTGGGCCTCCCAGATCCTCAGCTATGCCCCATCTATCCTTTCTTTAGCTAGCTGACCATCCTGCTCAGCTGTCTGCCACACCCCTCTCCAGCTCTTACACCCTAGAGGCTAGAAACCTGGACCCAAAGCCCCGCTGTTTCTATTCTCCTTGTTTCTATTCCTGACTCCTGCTAACTGGGTAGCCAGTGGTGGTAACCAAATTCAATGGTGCTTCTCAAGGCTTTCATAGCTGAAGTTGGGATTATGACCCTAGAGCAAAGGGAGGGTCAAGTTCTGGGCCTGATGAGACTCAGGCTGACTCTGGTCCAGTAATTGGAGTTCCTAAATGGAGGCTACTTATATATGAGACGTAAGGGAATACATAAAGCATAAGGTTTTAATTGTTTGCAGTAGCTCATGATGATCACAGCTAGGGAAATAAACTATATTCCAGTCATACAGAAAAGTCTCCAGAAAATGTTACTCAACCTCTCTTTTCTCTCTCCTCCCTCTCCCTCTTCTCTTTCCTTCCTTCCATCCCTTCTCCTCTCTCTCCCTTCCTTCCTCCCTCCCCTTCCACTTCATATTGATACAGAATGATCCTCAAGATATATTTTTTATTGAAAAGACCAGAGTGCAGGATAGAATATACTGCTTAAATTAGAGGGATCATAGATAATATACTATTGCTTGCTGTCCATGTACAAAATATTCCTTGTAAAAACACAAGGAGGTCACCTGTGGGAAGGGAATTTGGAAGCTGGGGTGAAGGTAAAGGAATACCGTCATGCATTTTGTTTTGTTTGTTAGTCATAGTGGTTGGACTTAGGGCCTGGGCACTATTGTTGAGTTTTTGTGCTTAAGCCTAGCACTCCACCACTTTGAGCTAGAGCTCCACTTCCAGTTTTCAGTGGTTAATTGGAGCTAAGAGTATCATGGATGTTCCTGCCTGGTCTGGCTTTGAACTGTGATCTTCAGATCTGTCTCCTCAGTAGCTAGGATTACAGGCGTGAGCCACTGGCACCTGGCTTTTATTTTTTTAATCATGTGAATGATTTATCTATCCATAAAAATAAACAGTATAAATTAAGGATTTAAGTTAGATTGAATCTAAATCTGTATCTTTGTCTTTCTTTTTTCCCCATTCCCACGTCCTGTATTTCCAGGACACTTCTGGGCACTCAGAGCACTATGTCAACAGCTTAGATTACTTACTGCAAGAAAAGAGGTGAGTGTGAAAGAAGGTCCACCATGAGGGTTTATTTCTGTGAAGTTGGAAGCAATTTTAGGACTCAGAGGAAATTCCTATCTGAGTGAAACAACATTCTCCATTCAGTCATTGCTCATCTTGTGTGCTCTACTTACAAATGAGCACATGGAATGGTTTCCAGATCCAAGGGTGACATTACTAAGCAGAGAGTTGCTGGATATTCACTACCAATTCTCATTCTAGGTTCTTTCCCTCATTTGGCTCCATTCTACCCATTTCATTCCACTTTGAGGGTGTTCTGTTAGATAGGAAAGAGGAAAAGCAAACAGTTGAATGCTAAGATACATAGTCTGACTGTGTAGCCTAGAAGTCACTCTGGGCAGTTAGACATTTCTATACTTCTGCTACTTTCTCTTTCCCTGTCATTGAAGCATATCTGACTGCAGTTGCACTGTGTCTCTTCACACTTGCCTTATCTCTGGTCTCTTGGTAAAACCCTATCTCAGAGAAATCTGTTTCTGGAGAAATCAGTTTCTGAACTCTTCTTATTATCTTCCCCCTCAGCAGTTTCTGAAGGCAGAAATCACATTGGTTGGCACTGGCAATCCTTTAGTGAGTTGCAGATGGTATCAGAGACCAGCACCTATTGTGCTTAATCTGAATGAATGCTTGAAGGTTGGCTTGCATGGAGGGACCCTTCTGGGTAGAAATGCCAGACTCCTGCTGTCTACTGCAGACTCCTCATGCTGTGAGGCAGCTGAGAACAGCTGCTCGTGTTGGGGTCATGTTTGTTGGCCTGCTCTTTGATGGCATGTGAGCAGATTGCTCACATGACCTGGTGCCCCTTGGTCCCCTCTCCTTTTGTTGTTTTGTAGTATCAAGTTTGCTCAATGCTTATAGGTTACATTTGCAGAAGTTAATTTACCTCCTCTGGCTGTGAGGATTAGTGCCTCCTTATACTGTATTTTTTTCCCCAGAGCTCCCAGTCCTGCATTCTTGCCCACAGGAGGGTGTTAGATATATGTATAGAACAATTACTTTTTTTTTTTTTTGCCGGTCGTGGGGCCTGAACTCTGGGCCTGGGCACTGTCCCTCAGCTCTTCAGCTCACTCTAGCCACAGTGCCACTTCTGGCTTTTTCTGCTTATGTGGTGCTGAGGAATCCAACCCAGTGCCTCAGGCATGCAAGGCAAGCGCTCTACCACTGAGCCACCTTCCCAGCCCCCAATTACTTTTTAACTCTGCCTTTGTTCTTTCTGGCCCTCTGACCTCTCAGAGTCAGTTCATCTCTTCCTTTATATACGCTTCTAGATTTTCATATTCTGAGGCTTTTGTTACTTAACTTTCTTTATCTGAAATTAGATTATAAGTCAGGAAAGTGACTATGTCTCCATTATTTCCCCAATGCCTAGCACTGTGCTATAAACTAAGTGCTTGATAATGGTAGGAAAGTAAATGTTTGTGGGCAACTGTCTTACCATCAGTATGCCTAGTATTGGGAAGTTTTTGCTGTCTACATCAGCTTGGGCTGCAATTAAACAATAGCCAGAGACTAGGGGCTTAACCAAGATGTGTATTTCTCACTGTTCTGGGGGTGTTGAAGTCCAAGATCAAGGGTCTGGCCACCTTCTTGCTATGAGCTCATATGATAGAGGATGCAGATCTTTTGTGTCTTTTTCTATCAGGACAATAGTCTTACAAGATCAGAACCCCCCACTATGATACTTACTTATTCCCAAAATATCTGTATTTGGAGTTAGAGTTTTAGCGCATAAATTTGGAGGCAGCACAGACATTCAGTTTGTAGCACACTATACTGGGTGCTGGTCTGGAGTACTGGAGTTTCTGATGCTGATGGTGCTACCCAGCTTACCTAGAAATTTAACAAAATGAGTCTAGCTGGAATTTTCCATGTTGTAAAGTTGCTATAGAAGGGCCCAGAAGTGCTACCTCACTTAGGCAAGAGATCAAAAAAGAATCTTCAAAGGTGTCATTATCCTGGAGCCTGGCTTGATAAGAAGGTTTTTTGTTTTGAGATGGAAGTTTACTACCAAATAAAGGCAGATAGGACAGGTCAAGCTGTTTCTAGGTGGGACAGAACTTGTAGGTGCTAAAGGGTAAGTTAAAAGGGTCAGGAAATTCAGCCCAGGTGTGGCAGGAGAGGGCTGGATAGTGAGTGGTCCCACAGAAACAGGTCAAATCATGGAAGAATTTTTTGCAGTCAGAGATGTATCTTCCCACATTTAAAAAGATTGCCTTTAGAGAATGAGTGGGACAAGATGAGGTAGGCCAAGGGGGTGAGGTAGGGCTTGGGGTGGAGCTCATACCTGGGAGGTCCTTTTGAGGAGGATAGTAGAGCTCCTTATTGTCTGATACCCTGAGTTATTGAGGTGCAAGGCTGTGTGGAGTAGAGGAATGCAGAATTAGACAGACTGGTTCACTTTGAATTGAAAAAAAAATCATCTAATTGGTACCTGATAGGATCTGAGTACAAGAGGCCTGGACTGAAGATAGTATATTTCAGAACTGAGGGCCTGTGAACACAGCTTTGGTGAATACCAGCTGCTCAGTGGCCAAATAGGGACTGGAGAGCCCACAAGATCCTCTCAGTAGTCTGTGGGGTAAAGGACAGAGATGACCATGGGATGGTTTAGTCCATCTGGAGAGTGCAGTGTCCCCCAGAAGTTTAAACCTAAGAGTCCTGGTTCAGAGAGACTGGGGAACACAGCTTTTTCTTATTAGGCCAGTCTTGTTCATGGGAATCTCTGCAACTTGGTGCTCCCTGATTCTGGCTCTTGTCTTCCACAGGGAACAGGCCCTGGAGCAGAAGTGGGAGAAGCTGCTTCTGCACGATCATCCTGATCCTGATTCCTCAGATTCAGAGAACAGTGAAGTACTTCTCATGCCTGAGCAGAGGTAAATTGTGTGGCCTTTTACTTGTTCAGAGTTCAGTCAGCTCTTTGTGTACCACTTAGGAGTTCTAAAACCATTTCCTCCTCTTACAGTCATATTTACTTATTGATTCAAGAAATACCCAGTCACCTGCTGGGCATCTGGGTATTGTCTAGATTTTGATGACATAGAGATTATCTGTCCAAGTTTGTAGACCCAGATCTCTTGAGGAGCTAGCTCCACACAAAACTATAGTCATATTGAAAACTTGTCTTGTGAAGGGAGGTCTTGGCCATAGGAGTTTAAAAAAAATCTTACCCCATGTATGGCTGTCATCTGGGTCAAAGTTCCATTGACACTGATTTAATAAGTAACTGGTTGGAGGAAGATCTGGATTCATCTGTACCAAGGGTCTCAGAAATGCTGGGGACCACAATCAGATTGCCTATAGGGTACACTGTTTTCCATCTTAGTCTTTTGGGTCTACTATAACAGAGTCCTGTGAACTAGATGGCTTATGAACAGCAGTAGTCCATTTCTCAGAAGTGGAGGTGGGCTTGAATGGTAGATATAAGCAGTGAGAGGTGGGAAACCAATATAAGCTCAAGGCTTTATTGGGGGACAGACCTGCTAGGCTGCTCCAAGCAGGAATGGAGGCAGCAGATGTGGACAGGTGTGGGCAGAATTTAAACAAAATTTTAGGGGGCAGTCACATGGGTCACATTATGTGGTCCATAGGAATTTGGGGGGTAGAGTCAGTTCCGAGAAAGTGTTGCAAAGGTGTTATGTGGGCTACAGGAATTGAGGAGAGAGTCACATTCTGAGAAGAAGTGTAACAAGACTGTTGCAACTGGAGCAGAAATTTTTACCTCACACTGGGAAAGCAATACAGCATCGAGGAAATAGAGACTTAACAGAATTTTGTAAACAGGTAGGGACCCAGAGCTGGACTTAATAGGCAAGCTGACTCTGAGACTTTAGAGTGCCAGCCTTGAGCAAAAAAGCCAAGTGAGAGCATGAGGCCCCAGTACAAGAAAAGAAAAGAATAGGAGAGAGAGAGAGTGAGAGGAGAGGGGGGGGGAGAGGTCTATTTCTTGCAGTTCTGGAGAATGGAAGCCCAAGATCACAATGACAGCATGATTGAGTTCTGCATTGGTCCCTTTTCAGGTTGAAGACAGCCAATACCTTGTGCCCTCATGAGGCCAAAAGGGCTAGAGACCTCTCTGGATTTTGTATAATGACAATAATCCTGTTCATGAGGGCTCCAATATCATGACCTAATTGTTAGGAAAATGGAGGAGAATGGAAAAGGAATAGGTTGGACTTGATCGTCAACAGGCTAGGAGTGTTTATTGCAAGTGAGGAACACAGACCTTCCTATGGAAGAAAAAAGCCAGAAGTGGCGCTGTGGCTCAAGTGGTAGAGCGCTAGCCTTGAGTTGAAGAGCTGAGGGACAGTGCCCAGGCCAGAGTTCAGGCCCCATGACCGGACCCCAAGAAAAAAAAAAAACCAGAACATCAAAAACAAGATGATTGGAGGCATACAAAAAGAAATAATCAGTGGTCTGCACATGAGTAGTTGACGTCATAGCTCTTCATAAGATACATGTTCACAAAATGTCACCATTAGTGTTCTGGGAGTGGAGTTTTGGCCTTCTGGTGTTAAGACTGCTCATTGGCTAGCAGTTCAGGTCCTACTAAACAGTGACTTCAACTGATTTGAGTAGATAAGAGCAGTCTCTTTAAGTTCCTGAACAACTTAAGTGACCATTACTGTCATGACCACAATCAGTAGTTATACCTACAGAAAAGCTAGTGGGAATGTGCTACTTAGCTCCTTGATATTTGCAATTACTAATGAAAGCAAGCAACTGAAGGAACTGAGAGTCCTTCAAGTTTCTCTCAGTTTTACCATGATTCTAGGAAACTGGATTGGAACAGCCATCCCAGAGAGGGAATGAAAGCTCCTTACAAACTGCCCGGAACCAAGAGAAGGCTTACTGTGAAGTTGCACCCAAATCCCCCCCGAGTGTAGAAGCCGGTCTGATGTCTCAGGAGGCATGTGGATGGATATGGTGGATCATGGGAGACTGAATTTCTCCAGTGTGTTGAGAACTGTCTTGGTGGTGGTACATGGAAGGAGAGCAGTCTTCTCTGAGCTGAGACCTGTGGACTTGGCTTCAGGAGTCTCCACTCACTGAATACATAGCCTTGGAATAAAACCTTTGTAAAATTTCTATAGCAAGAATAATTCTTACACTCTTGACCTTTCTATTGAACAAATCCCAGGATTCTGAAATCAGTGCTATTTTTTCAACTGACTTACTGTGGAAGGTGTTCCTGGCTTTGAAATCTCTGGTTCATTTTCGGAGCACATGATATTCTCCAGTAGTGCTTAGAGAAAGCTTCTTTGACAACAGCCACTTTGAGGTGGTTGTTTTGATGTGGGATCATTTTGATGGAATTGTTTAACCTTGTGTTGTTTTTTTTTAAAAAAAAAAAAAAGACTCTGATGTATGAAGCCAACAAACCTATTTCATGTCTGAATAGGGTCATGGTGGGGGCCAGGGGAGCAATATGAGTCTAGAAAGGATGGGACTGAGGAGAGGGCTAGGCATCTTCTGCCAGACAAGATGTCATATGGTTGTCACAACTGTCTGTGACAAAAGGAGCTCTGATCAAACTGAGCAAAGTGTCTGTCTATGCCCTAAGAACTGGCTTGTATCTTGAGGAAATGACATCTTAAATTCTCTCTTTCTTAAGTTTCAAGACCTTCTGTGTATGCTGAGGCAGTGACCAGAGGGGGCAGGGAGAGATGGATATTTAAACCACAACATCATCATTTATTCTCAGCTCTAGGCTGTACAGGAAATCCTCAATTAGACATGTGAAAGTGTCTCAGAACTCCTAAAAATGCACATACATTATAGTTAACCTCACAAAAGTCCCTTTGAATGATGGTTTGGGGGACAGAACTATGACCACCACCCCACTCCCCCCCCCCGCCCCCCCGTTACAGATGAGCCTAGTTCTTCCAGACTTTAGATAATTTGAACATTTTTATCTTCTGTAAAAGTAACAAAAAGAGCTATAATATATACAAAGCTCTAATGGCAAACACATGAACAAAACAAAATATTTTACCATCTGTATGGTGGTTTGCTAAGACTATTTCTGAAAAGTCTACAGACTCAGTTTTCCTGTTTTTCTATCATTATTTCCATTTGTTGAGCCATTTTATTCTCAGGAGAGTCCTGTGATGCAGGTAGTGTCTTACTTTGTGTCATTTGTCAGAAAGTAAGATGGATTCTTATGGTTGGGCAGCCAGGGGGCCACCAACTATGCTATTGCACCTCCAGTGCCAGCTGCTCATATTTCAGACAGTGGATCAGAATGGGAACCTGGGTTGGGTGATCCTTTAGTGAAAGAAAGAGAAGAGGTATTTGCTTTCATTATTGTAACCAAACCATCAAGCAAACAAGCAGAAGATTGTCATAGGGAACAAACAGAATGTGTCTATTCTTCTCTCTCGGTATTTCTACTCCATAGAATGATCCTAGTACATAATTGAGTACATCACGTGTGTGTGAGAGAGAGAGAGAGAGAGAGAGAGAGAGAGAAAAGAGAGAGAGAGGCAGAGACAGAGACAGAAACAGAGACAGAGGCAGAGACAGAGACAGAGACAGAGATAGAGAGAAACTGTGTTTAAGTATGTTGGGTTGGGAAAAATGGTTAAAGTAGTCCCTCTCCACCTATGATTTCACTTTCTGTTTCAGCTACCCATAATCAAGTACTGTCTGAAAATACTTATTGGGAAGTTAAAAACAAACTTCAAATTATATACTATTCTGAGTACTGTAGTATGATGAAATCTTACAGTGTTGCTTCACCTCGCCTGGGATATCCTTTTGTGCATAGTATATACTACTCACCTGTTAGTAACTAAGTAGTTGTCTGAATTAACAGATAGGCTTTAATAATCAGTTCTTGGATTCAGGTAATCCCTATTTTACTTAGCAATGATCTTAAGGTACAGAATAGTGATAATGAATTTCAGATATGCTTCAGTGTTTCCTTTATATGAAAGGGTGGAAGTTCCTTTTTTGTGTGTGGAGGGGGAGTCCTCTGGGGGCTTGAACTCAGGGATTCTTGCATTCTTGATTGCTTTCTTACTCAAGGCTGGAGCTCTACCACTCAAGCCATACCTCCACCTCTGGATTCTGGCTGGAGGTGAGTCTCATGGACTTTTCTGCCAGACTGTTTTGAACCATGATCCTCTGATCTCAGCCTCCTGAGTAGATAGGAATATAGGTGTGAGCCATCAGTTCCTGGCTAAATATTCTTGATTTAAGGAAAGAAAAAAAGTAAACTGTGTCTGCCAAGATCTATAGAAGAACAGATCTTCTATCTGTGAAACTGTGAAGAAGGAAAAAGTAATATGTGCTAGTTTTACAGTCATCCTCAAACTGCATAAATAAGAGCCAATATGTGATTAGTTAAGTGCCAAGTTGTAGAAGATGTATTATATTATAAGGTTTAATACTACCCTCACCTTCAATTTCAAGCATTCACTGAAGGTCTTGGAATATATCACCTATAGAAAAGGGCAGGGGGAAGAACTGTACACACACGCGCGTGCGCACACACACACATACACACTCACACACACACTTTCATCTTGCTGTTTTCACTCATATCCTACTGTCCATGCTAGTCCATTGTGTGGAGATTTAGCTCCTTCTTAGCATTCATATTGGTGTATGTGTACACACATGTGCACATGTATATGTGTATGCCAGTACTTGCCATACCACTTGAACTGCACTTCCAGTCCAGCTTTTTGCTGATTAATTGGTCTTGGATTTGTCTTCCTGGACTGGCTTTATATGATAATCATTAATCTTAGCCTCCTGAGTAGCTGGTGCCTGGCTTAGGATTCATCATAACTGTATTCCTTTCCTTATTCCCATTTCATTGAGTCATGATATAATTGGAAAGCATTCCCTTGTTTCCCTGTCCATGTGCCCAGTTTAGATCTGCTAAAACAGACTCCTGGGCATGGTGGGCTTTGAGCTACATTTATTAGGCTCTCTGGATAGTCTTCAAGTGCTCTGGAGCTCAAGGACTACTGACTTCTTCAGCTGGCACGGGGCCAGCTTCTACTACAGGGCTTCCTCAACTCATTCAGGAAATCTTCCCTGGTCCTCACTGCACCCAACCCTTCTCCCCTCTGTCCCTCCTAGCATTGTCAAGACTTCTGTGTCAGCAAGTCAATTTTAGCCAGAGGTTAGTGTGGTGATTTGTTAATACTTTTCCTGAGTGACCCATAGCTGACTCATTGTTTAGCAACTGGCATTGAAAACATGCAGTGAAAGTTTGACCTGAGCAGAACCAACAGGGTGGAGCTGTGCTAATATGCCATCTCCTGGCCCTGAAAGGGGTGTCCTGAGAGGGATTCTGGCATTTTGGGGAGTAAGGACTCTCCTCTCTGCTGCTGGGCTCTTCCTCCATCAGCAGATGGCACTGTATCCCCTGGTCTACAGGGCACAGACAAGGTACACCTAGGCCCACCTGGCCTTCCCAGGCCTCATGCTGTGCTCCAAACCTAGATGTGCTTCTAACCCCTACTGCTCTGCCCCTTGTCTTGCCAGAATACTGGTGGAGAAGTTCTCTGTGTCCCTGAAGGTCATCCCCCCAGTACATCCAGGTGAGACTGTGTTTCTGCCCAGGCGTCATCCCCTGCCCTGCATCTTGGACTCCTTACACCTAAAGCCACACAGCCACCTGGAAGAGCTGTTCCTCAGGTAAGCAAGAGGGGAGGACAGGGTAACAGTATAGCCTGGCCAGGTTCCCTTCCTCCTGGATTCCAAGAAAAAGGACTTCCCCAAATGGAGAAATCCAAAATTGTGTTCCATCCAATGTGAACATAGCACCTTTTAAGGATATAAGTGACATAGTCATATGTGTATGCTTATATAATTACTAATTTAGATGTACAAACTTTTTAAAATTCTACTTATAGAAAGTATTAGGTTGTGCATTTACATTTTCATGTAGTTTTTTTCCTTCTCCATGCCCCAGTTTCTCCATATACCCTGAGTCAGACTCATTATCCATGGCCTAAGCATTTTTCTTTCTGCACTAGGTGCAATCTCTGGGCCATGAGAGCCTGTGATGGCTGCTTCCATCTATAGTAGTAGCACCTCTTATCCACAGTTTTACTTTCTGTGGTTTTTCAGTTACCTATAGTCAATTGATCTGGAAGTATTAAATAAAAAAAATCTAGAAATAACTCATAAGTTTTAAGTTGTGTACTATTTAGAGTAATGTAATAAACTCTTGTGCCTTACTCCACCCAGGCAGGGATGGGAGCCATCTCCTTAGCATATACACACTGACTCTCTTGCCCACCCATCGGTCACTTTGTGGCTATCTTAGATGTCTGGTCAACTTGCACTATCACAGTGCTTATGTCTAAGTAACCCTTATTTTACTAATGACTACAGAGATAAGTACAATAATTTTGAGAACCAAGACATGCCAAAGAGAAGGCATAAAGAGTTTCCTTTAAGAGAAAAGGTGAAAGTCTTTAGCTTAATAAGGAAAGAAAAAGTGCGACGGACCAGCTCGGCCGGAGCACTAGGACCGACGGGACAGGGATCTCGGGATAGGTGGGCAAAGGAGTCGGCGAAGTGACAAACAGACACAGACTCAAAGGAGTTGCATCTGAGTGTATCTTTATTGAGGAGAATTAACATTTTTATACAGTGTGTGATTGTGACATAGATTTTTTCTTTATTTAAGCACGTAATCAATTTTTTTTAAAGGCAAAGCATTGATGAATTACATGAAAATTAATGACTATCCCACCAACTGTTTAAGCTAAGTGGTGCGAAACAAGTCTAGCATATTGTTTAATAGAATGCGTCATCTATTTAGCCTTTTTATGTTTAATAATTAATAAACCTAAGACAGGGCTGTACTTACATTGTACTCTTTTTAATTTTATTTTTATCCAACTAATTTCATCTTTATAAGCTCCTGTATAAGGAAATGGTTCTTGGTTGGTTCAGGAAATATGTTACTAACTTTATATTTTGTGTGAAAACACCATCTATTCCCTATAACGTAAGTTGGACTAAACTTAATCATAACTGTTGGGAGAATCTTTCTTTTTCTTTTATAATCAGAGGTCCCTTCTTTTTTAGAACTCTCTAAACTACTGGGATAACTCTTTCTAACTTAGTTTAATTTATTGATTTTGTCTGTTGGACATACCTAGAAATTTTAAGTCTCTATATTTACTATGCGTGAGCTGCAAAACCGCTTGTGAAGTTGTAGGAGTTTCTGGAGGCAACATCACATCAAATGATAGATTGATTGGGGCATTGCCCACATTTAATCTTTGGCCTTAGTCTTTATTACTTAAAGAAGCCATCTCTATTGGACTGGAAAAATACAACATGCTCTGTTCGCGGATCAATAGAAAAATAGCCAAAACGAGAATAAAGGCAATGAATGTACAGCCAAGAAGAATATAGTAAGAATAAAGGTAGAGGCTATAAAGGTGCAGCCAAGTGTATGGGAAGCCTTGAACCAACAACGCGATCTCTCACGCAGACTCTGCAGAAGGTGGCGTGACACCCACTGGTCACAGAAAGATGTCCACTCAGCTGGAGATACCAGGAACCACTGGAAGTGCAGAAACTTAAGCGTTTGACCTTGTTTCTCTGGCCAGAGACTATTCATAGAACTTGCAGTCCCTTATTCTGTTGTCAATGTCAAATCAGAAGCCATCTATCCACCACAGACAGCTTTATGGAAGTGCTCCACCCACCTGCGCCAGCCTCTCTTTGCTGAACCCAGCTAAGAACTCCTTGCAGACACATCTTCATGGCTGCTTTGCCTGCTGTGATCTCTGCTCCTTTCCAAACGCTTGCTTCGGCAGCTTCCCCTCCATTGTGCCTCTCGGACTGGGTTCCCATGGTGGTTGGATACTGAGCTGCTTGTTAGAGGAGGAAACAAGAGTTGTTGTATACAATGGCAGGCCTGAACTGGCCTGGAGGCAGGACAGACGCTCTCCCAGGTGGGACTTGTCAGGGTACTGCCACTGGGCCCTGGGTCACTGTGGTGAGCAGCAGTCACACTGGAACTTTTCTTTCTCAGAGAACAACGGGTTAAGTCTGACCAGATTGTCTTTTTTAGGGAATCCAGTTCTCCACCAACTCCTGGGGGATGCCTGGGGCTTGAGTCTATGCCAGGCTCCACTCCTGTCCAGAACCTTTCATTCCAAAAGTTTCAACCAAGTGTATGTGGCATGGCAAAAAAGTATATGCTTGAGTCACTGAGATCAAAGGTAAAAATCAAATCTGTGTCATTGTGAAGGAGGAAGACATATTCATGCTAATTTTGCTGTTGTACCTGCAAACATTTCAGCCACAGTTTGCAATAAGTGCTTAGTTATGTTGTATTAGATTATCAGTACTGCCCACCATTTCAGAAGTCCATTGGAGGACTTAGATTGTACCCTCCTTGGATGAGGGTCCACTATATTTGTTAGAGTCATGGCACATCTTCAGTTTGTGTGAAGTTTGTCCCCAGCCAAAAGCACACTCAGTAACATTAGGCCATTTGCCTGATTCTCCTCTGTGGGGGGAGGGGGGGGTAAATTCATGATAATGATCTCATCATCACTACTAGATCACTTTTTAAGAGAATGCCTTACCACAATACTCTCTAACACTTGTGCTTGCGAGCCAGTAGATCCAAGAATAAGAGAAAGAGACACCTGCAGGATTCTGTGCAGTAGTTTCTACTGGGAGTTCACAGAGTGGTACCTGCTCTGGAGGCTGAGGATGTTGAAAAAGGACTACCACTGCCCACCCAATAAGACACACGCAGGTTGACCAGCATTTGTGAACACTTACGACACATTAGGACATGAACACAGGAATCATGTTCTGTTTACCAGCTAGTCAAGGTTTTTCTATGTGTATTAGTGTATTTTTCATTACTATACAACCTGAGGCTTGGTATTTATAAGGAAAAAAGATTTGTTTACTGCCGGGCGCTGGTGGCTCACGCCTGTAATCCTAGCTACTCAGGAGTCTGAGATCTGAGGATCATGGTTCAAAGCCAGCCCGGGCAGGAGAGACCATGAGACTCCTATCTCCAATAAACCACCAGAAAACCGGAAGTGGCGCTGTAGCTCAAGTGGTAGAGCGCTCGCCTTGAGCTGAAGAGCTGAGGGACAGCGCCCAGGCCCAGAGTTCAAGCCCCACGTCCGACAAAAAAAAAAAAAAAAAGAGATTTGTTTAGCTGCCAGTGGAGGCTGAAAACCTTAACAGCACAGTGGAAAGATCCCACATATCTGTATCACCTCCTGGTGGATGCCACCACAATGATGAGAGCAGACAAGAAACCAAAAAGCAGTTCTCTAATGATTTAGGCCCACCTAAATGATTTGTGTCCACCTCTTTTCTTGTTTGTTTTATGGTACTGGGAGTCAAACCGAGGGCTTTGCACATGCTAGGTAAATAATGTACCACTGAATTACATCTGCAGCTTTTGGTTTTAAGACAGGGTCTCACCATGTAGCTTAGGCTAACATCAACTCTTGGTCCTTTTCCTATGTCTCCCAAGCGTTGGGATTACAGGCATGGGCTATAATGCCTGGCAAGTCCCACTTTTTTTTTTTTTTTGGTCAGTCATGGGGCTTGAACTTTGAGCCTGGACACTGTCCCTCAGCTCTTCAGCTCAAGGCTAGTGCTCTAACCACTCAAGCCACAGCATTATTTCTGGCTTTTTCTGCTTCTATGGTGCTAAGGAATCGAACCCAGGGCTTCATTAATGCATGCAAGGCAAGCACTCTACCACTGAGCCACCTTCCCAGCCCCAAAGGCCCATCTTTTAACATTACTCTTAACATAAAAGTACATTAATTAAATTTATTGCTATATTATTTTACTATATATTAAACTTATTTCAATTTTCATTAAATTAATTGAGTTACACTTTGCATTACTCTCCCAACATTTTCATACCAGGGACCAAGTTTTCAAACACAAGCTCTTGGGGGACAAACTCAAACTATATGCACACTATAATATTAGTTTTTGTTTTCCTCTTCTCTTCTTTTTTTTTTGTGCTGGTTCTAGGGCTTGAACTTAGGGCCTAGGTATTATCCCTGAGCTTTTTTTGCTCAAGGCAAGCTCTTACCAGTTGAGCCACAGCTCTACTTCTGGCTTTTTGGTGTTTAATTGGAGATAAGAATCGCATAGACTTTGAACCATGACTCTCAAATCCCAGCTTCTTGAGTAAGTAAGATTACAGGTGTGAGCCACTGATACCTGGTACCCATTACCCTTAACATTTTAATGTGTCCTTTATTATATTATGGAAAGTTTCAAGCATGTGTAAAAATTAAGTGAACAGTATAACTTACCTCTATTATCCATCTCTCAATTTTAGCAGGAATCAACTCAAAGCCAGTCTTTGTGTGTGTATGTGGGAAGGGGGGCCCGGTTAGCCTGAACTCTGGGCCTGGGCACTGTCCCTCAGCAATTCAGCTCAAGGCTAGCACTCTACTATTTGAGTCACAGCGCCACTTCCGGCTTTTTTCTTTTTGCTTATGTGGTGCTGAGGAATTGATCCCAGGGCCTCAGGCATACGAGGCAAGCGCTCTACCACTGAGCCACCTTCCCAGCCCCTCAAAGCCAGTCTTATTTCTCTTCACTGCTGTTGAGCAATATCATCCTCCCAGGATTACTTAAAAGTAGACACACATAATTTAATCTATAAATAT